CGGTAACGTACAGGCACTAGGACCCAGGCGCGCCTGTCGGCGCTGGGCGGGCTATTTAAAGAGCACCTCGGTGCTGATTCAGTGCTGACTGGGTTTCAGCTCCCCCAGTGTCCTGCTTGTTTCCTGTGCGATTCCTTTGGTGCTGACCCGGCTTGTTCCTGACCCGACTCTGAGTTCTCTTCTGCCCCCCGGGTTCCTGATTTCGGCTCTGTTCCTGACTTTGGCATTTTCCTCCTGATCCTGTATCGCGCTGCCTGACTGTTATGACCCTGGCTATCCGACAACTCCGCTCCAGTCCTGTGTCCTTGTTGGGATCCAGCGCCTGCGCAGATTCATGCGCTGTGGCGATCTTCTTGTTCCCTGATACCCTCCCTTGGCTTTGTCAGCTTAAAGCTGCAATAGCAAGCCTCCCCCGCTCCTCATCCATCCATTCTTTGGTCCACCCACACTGCCCTATCTCTCACTCCTACCAGCACTGCCACATCTCGCTTCAATACTGCCACTCTCTCACTCATTTGGCCTCTTCCTTCTCTTTGCCACTGACTCTGGTTTTCCCCTGATCATTGCCTCCCTGCTCACCTCCATCTACATCTCTCACCGTATGGAGTGAACTCCCCTTTCTCTGCAAGTTACATTCCATTCCATTCCCGCCTCCCCATCCTTGTCCACATGTCCCCCCAACTCCACCAACCTACCACCTATCTGCTGCATCCCCCCCTCCTTCCATCCCCAGTCATCCTCCTCACTCCCCCCCCCCCCCCTCGACCTTCCTGTCCTAGGGTACAAGAACCATTTTGTTTTATTTAACTATCCATTTTATGCCCCTCCCACTGTTAATGCAATTTGGCCACACCCACTCTTCACCTCATTGCTACTCTCCTTGGGGCACCCAAAGGTGTCGTTGTTTTTTTTACCATCCTATAGCACATACTACAACAAAAAATTGTCATGTACCGCCAGGGGCGGACTGACCATTTGGAAAAAGAGCACTGCCCGAGGGCCCGGGGTCAGTAGGGGGCCCCATGAAATGCCCCTGGTACCTTTTTCATAGGCTTTTTTGAGTTTGGGCAAGGACACAGGGGCCGCATGATCCCCTATTGCCTGAGGGCCCCATGAGTTGTTAGTCCTCCCCTGTGTACCGCTAAAGTCACACCCAACCAGTCAGGTACGTGTCTTTTCTTTAACCTCCTGGCTAACTAATTTAACTTTCCGCTGCCTTCCTCCACTTGCCAACTGGTCGTGTTAGTCCTATGCTTGTTTTCCTCTCCTAGCTCTGGGTCTACCTCCATGGTAATATTAACAGTGGAAGAACAATAGAAAAAGACCAAGTGGTCCTACAAGTCTTCTCCTGTAATTAAATGTTAGGGGTTTCACAAGGCAGAAGGTCGTCTGTAGGGTCAGAATAATGGAGGGGGTGTCCTTTTCTGATGCCTGCTGACATTGTGAGGAGTGAAGCTTAGATTACAGATGCTGATTGTCTTCTTTCTCCACTCCAAATGTTTCATCTTCTCCATCTTGGATGGTGCTGCTGAAGGTCAGTCCAGAGTGAGAGGATTGGCTCAGACTGGACACAATTTATCTGTGTTGATCCTATGGAGATTTTCTTGGGGCTGCAGTTCATCTGAGCTCCACAAGGTGGGGATCTCACTTCTACCCAGACAGGAAGTCTCTATGGTGGACAGGAAGTGATGTCAGGTATAAATTGGAAGTTTCGGATGAGAGGTGAGTTGGGAGGAAGTAGAGAGGAGACATTGCTGGAAGTGGTAGCAGAGGAGGTAATAAGATCTTATTTTTATTTACACCCAGTAACCCCTTCGTCATGTCCGTCCTCTTCCTCCATTGTCACCCCTGTCCTCTTCCTCCACTGTCACGCCCATCCTCTTCCTCCATCGTCGCGTCCATCCTCTCCCTCCACCGTCGCGTCCTTCCTCTCCCTACACCGTCGCGTCCTTCCTCTCCCTCCACCGTCGCGCCCTTCCTCTCCCTCCACCGTCGCGCCCTTACCTCTCCCTCCACCGTCGCGCACGTCCTCTCCCTCCACCGTCTCGCCCGTCCTCTCCCTCCACCGTCGCGCCCTTCCTCTCCCTCCACCGTCGCGCCCGTCCTCTCCCTCCACCGTCGCGCCCTTCCTCTCCCTCCACCGTCGCGCCCTTCCTCTCCCTCCACCGTCGCGCCCGTCCTCTCCCTCCACCGTCGCGCCCGTCCTCTCCCTCCACCGTCGCGCACGTCCTCTCCCTCCACCGTCTCGCCCGTCCTCTCCCTCCACCGTCGCGCCCTTCCTCTCCCTCCACCGTCGCGCCCGTCCTCTCCCTCCACCGTCGCGCCCGTCCTCTCCCTCCACCGTCGCGCCCGTCCTCTCCCTCCACCGTCGCGCCCGTCCTCTCCCTCCACCGTCGCGCCCTTCCTCTCCCTCCACCGTCGCGCCCTTCCTCTCCCTCCACCGTCGCGCGCCCGTCCTCTCCCTCCACCGTCGCGCCCGTCCTCTTCTTCCATAGTCACTGTGACGTCTTTTATCTCCAGCAGATGATGATACACACATATATATGTGGGAACCCAGATTAACTCCTTCAGGGGCAGAACATTCCCCCACTTCCGAGGCCGGAACATTCTCCTCATTGTGGAGATGTCACCTTTCCCACCAATCACCTTCTCTCCTCCTCCATCTATACTAATGGATTATACGATATAACAGGATGAGGTTTTTATTTAGAGGTGAATTTATCATACATTTGTTTGTATTTAATGAGTTTAAGAATAATGAGGAGGAAATAACTATTCCTGATGTCTGTGAAGGTTCAATCCAAGGGATGTGTCTGGATGGTGACTGTATCATTGTGTGTGTCAGGTTCCTATAAGGTGTCAGGGTGTCACTGTCTATTTCTCCATGGAGGAGTGGGAGTATTTAGAAGGACACAAGGACCTCTACAAGGACGTCATGATGGACAATCAGCCGCCCCTCACATCACCGGGTAAGAGGAGACTTTATTGGAAAGGAGAGAGCAGTACGGAGGATCCACCTAGATCCCCCATCATCTGATAAACACATAGAAACAATGGATTCAGTCAGTGTGTGTGTTTCCTACAGATGGATCCAGTCATGGGAACCCACCAGAGAGATGTCCCCATCCTCTGTATTCCCGGATTCCACACAGGAAGGTCACACCATCCCTCACCATCATCAGGTAGATGGATCCAGTTATGGGAACCCACCAGAGAGATGTCCCCGTCCTCTGTATTCCCGGGATTCCACACAGGAAGATCACACCATCCCTCACCATCAGGTAGATGGATCCGGTCATGGGAACCCACCAGAGAGATGTCCCCGTCCTCTGTATTCCTGGGATTCCACACAGGAAGGTCACACCATCACTCACCATCATCATGTAGATGAGGAACAATCACTGATAGTTCTGATTTATACACAGCATGTTTGTTACAATGAATGTTTTATTATATATTCAGAGTGGAATCCTCGGGGATGATAATATTGATGTTAAAGAAGAGTATAAAGAGGAGGATGAGGAGTATGGAGTGATGGAGGAGTTTTCAGAAGGACACAAGGATATGATGGAGCCACCTAATACCAGGAACCCACCAGAGAGATGTCCCTGTCCTCTGTATTCCCAGGATTCCACACAGGAAGGTCACACCATCCCTCACCATCATCAGGTAGATGGATCCAGTCATGGGAACCCACCAGAGAGATGTCCCCGTCCTCTGTATTCCCGGGATTCCACACAGAAAGGTCACACCATGCCTCACCATCAACAGGTAGATTAGGAACAATCACTGATAGTATCATTAGGATCTGTACATTATCTGCATTGTTACCATTGATGTCATTTTTATTATATATTCAGAGTGGAAACCTGAGAGATTCTACAGTTGGGGTTAAAGAAAAGATAAAAGAGGAGGAGGATGGGGTGATGGAGGAGTCAGAGATTCCAGAAGGACACAAAGATCTGTACCAGGACACCATGGTGGAGTCATCCAGCTACAGGAACCCACCAGAGAGATGTCCCCGTCCTCTGTATTGCCGGGATTCCACACAGGAAGGTCACACCATCCCTCACCATCATCAGGTAGATGGATCCAGTCATGGGAACCCACCAGAGAGATGTCCCCGTCCTCTGTATTCCCGGGATTCCACACAGGAAGGTCACAACATCCTTCACAAGGACCAGGTAGGTAGCATGGATCATCTAGAACATGAAAGTGGCTCTTGTAGATGATCTATGGACCTTCCAAGATGATATTTTCTCTCCTTCTCTTGGTTTAGGGTGAAGATCTGACAGATATAAAAGTTGAGGTGAAATTAGAAGAAGAAGAGGCGTATGTGAGGGATGATCAGCAGTCTATGGAGGAGGATGGAATAACGGGGACATTTATAGAGGAGGACACTCCTACAGAGATCAGCACAGGTGGGTCATGAACACTAAATCCATTCCTCCACCCATACTGCTCACTGATTGGTCCAGATGATAAAGTTCTCATTGTCTGTCTGACAAGAGCCTGGAGCTCAAGAGGAACCATTTTACCTTTTAAGCTCCTCAGAGAACAAGCTGCCTGATGTGGGCGGAGTCCTGGTTTGGGGGAACCAATCAGCTCCTGTCTAGTAATCCTCTTTGTCTTTGTATTTTAGTCCATGGCTGGGAGATGAGGAAAACCTCCGAGGATTGTCTCACTTTGTCTCCAGACTGGAAAGTAGAAGATGAGGACATCACACAGTATAGTCCAGGAGAAAACCCGGCTCCCTCCAATGTCCATCCGGCACCACCCAGTGTAGATGGACCATCGGATTCCTCGTATCCTGAGGAACCTCAGACTGTGCGGGACCGGGCCGGCCTTCCAACAGGGAAGAGCTTCTCCTGTACTGAGTGCAGGAAATGTTTTCCACGGAAATCAGCTTTTTTAAGACATCTAAGCTCTCATACAGGGGAGAAGCTGTATTTATGTACCGAGTGTGGGAAATGTTATGCGCAGAAATCAGGACTTGTCAGACATCAAATATCTCACACAGGAGAGAAACCGCATTCCTGTCCTGAGTGCGGAAAACAGTTTTCATTGAAAGCAGCTCTTGTCAGACATCAGAGATCTCACACGGGTGAGAAGCCATACTCCTGCCCTGAGTGCGGGAAATGTTTTTCACGGAGCACTTCTCTTTCTGTACATCAGAAATACCACTCGGGAAACAAACCATATTCTTGCCCAGAGTGTGGGAAATGTTATCCACAAAAATCAGAACTTGTCAAACATCAGAAATCTCACAGAGGGGATAAACCATATCCCTGCTCTGAGTGCGGGAAAGGTTATCCACGGAAATCAGAACTTGTCATACATCAAAGATCTCACACTGGGGAGAAGCCATACTGCTGTCAGGAGTGTGGGAAATGTTATTCGTTGAAATCAACACTTGTCATACATCAAAGATCCCACACAGGCAAGAAGCCGTATTCCTGTCCGGAGTGCGGAAAATGTTATCCACGGCAATCTGCACTTGCCAGACATTTAAGATCCCACACAGGAGAAAAGCCGTATTCCTGTGCTGAGTGCGGGAAATGTTTTTCACAGAACTCTCATCTTTCTGAACATCAAAGATGCCACTCGTACAGCAAGCCATATTCTTGCCCAGAGTGCGGGAAATGTTATATTAGGAAATCAGCCCTTGTCCAACACCAAATATCTCACACAGGGGAGAAATCATATTCCTGCTCTGAGTGTGGGAAATGTTATCTACGAAAAACAGAACTTATCAGACATCACAAATCTCACACGGGGGAAAAGCCGTATTCCTGTCCTGAGTGCGGCAAATGTTATCTGTGGAAATCAGAACTTGTCACACATCAGAGATGTCACACGGGGGAGAAGCCGTACTCCTGTCCTGAGTGCGGGAAATGTTTCCCCTTTAAATCAACACTTGTCAGACATCGAAGATCTCACACAAGGGAGAAGCCGTATTCCTGTTCTGAGTGCGGGAAATGTTTTGTAGAGAAGTCCTCTCTTTCTGTACATCAGCAAAGTCACACGGGGGAGAAGCCGTTTTTCTGCCCTGAGTGCGGGAAATGTTATCAAAGGAAATCAGAACTCGTCACGCATCAGAGATCTCACACGGGGGAGAAGCCGTATTCCTGCCCTGAGTGCGGGAAATGTTACCCACGGAGATCAGAACTTGTCAGACATCAAAAATCTCACATGGGGGAGGAGCCTATTCTCGACCTGAGCGTGGGAAATGTTTGCTAGAGAAGACCTATGTGTTGGTAGATTGGGGGGGGGGGGGGGGGCGGGGGGGAGGAGCCGTATACTGTGTGGAGCGTATACTACTTTCATATGTCGTCTTGTCAGACTAATGAGTAATAAATATATTTTTTCAACCACTGCAAGTGAGCCGTGTTGTTTTTTGTTTAACCCCTTCAATACTGGACATCACACCCCCTCCCCCGCTCCCCCTACCCCTCTGCGTGGGACAATTTTCAGCTTTCAGTGCTCTCGCAGTCGTGCAACACTGCCCCCAGATAACATTTTCAGTGCTTTCATTTGGTGGTATTACCCGCCTGCCAACCACGTTACAGATCAACAGCGAGGTTGACCAGTCCTGGGAGGGGGTCATATGACGTCCTCCCGCGCACCCCGTGATCTCCGTGGACACGGCTGATCAAATGATACAGTAAATGGCCAATCACAGCAGCCTTTTACCACATGATTAGCCGTGTCCAATGACAGAGGAGATCACCGGGTAAATGCAGTTGCTAGTTGTCTGCTGCACTGTCACAGCGTGAGGAGAGAACTGCTGATAACCGGCAATTGTCAGAGGATGGATCGGCACCCATCATCAGGGCATTGATGATCAGTACCCAGCAGTGCCACCCACCTGTTCCCATCAGTACCACCCACCTGTACCCATCAGTGCCACCCACCTGTGCCCTGCAGTGCCACCCGCCTGTACCCATCAGTGCCACCCACCTGTGCCCTGCAGTGCCGCCCTCCTGTACCCATCAGTGACGCCCACCTGTGCCCTGCAGTGCCACCCACCTGTGCCCATCAATGTCACCCACCTGTGCCTATCAGTGCCTCCCACCTGTACCCATCAGTGAGGCGCACTTGTGCCCAGCAGTGCCACCTGCCTGTACCCATCTGTGCTGCCCACCTGTACCCATCAGTGACACCCACCTGTGCCCTGCAGTGCCACCCGTCAATGCTGCCCGGCATTGCCGCCAGTCCGTGCCCATCATTGTTGCATATCAGTGCAGCCTCATCAGTGCCAGCTCATTAGTGTTGCCTATCAGTGCTGCCTATCCGTGCTCATTAGGATCGCCTATCCGTGCGCATCAGTGTCGCCTATCAGTGCCCATCTGTGCCGCGCATCCGTGCCACCTATCAGTGCCTATCCATGCCCATCAGTGCTGTCTATCAATGCCGCCTATCAGTGCTGCCTATCAGTGCAGCCTCATCAACGCACATCAGTGAAGGAGAAAAATGACCCATTTGCAAACTTTTATAATAGAAACAAAGTAAAAATGTTTTTTTCAAATGTTTGCTCTTTTTTTGTTTATAAAAATAAAAACCCCAGTGGCAATACCACCAAAAGAAAGCTCTATTCGTGTGAAAAAAAAGATACAATTTCATATGGGTACAGTGTTGCATGACCGCGCAATTGTTATTCAAAGTGTGACAGCGCTGAAAGCTGAAAATTGGCCTGGGCAGGAAGGGGGTAGAAGTGTCTGGTGGGCAGGAAGAGGGGAGAAGTGCCCGGTAGGCAGGAAGGGGGTAGAAGTGCCCTGTAGGCAGGAAGGGGGTAGAAGTGCCCGGTAAGCAGGAAGGGGGTAGAAGTGCCCGGTAGGCAGGAAGGGGGTAGAAGTGCCCGGTAAGCAGGAAGGGGGTAGAAGTGCCCGGTAGGCAGGAAGGGGGTAGAAGTGCCCGGTAAGCAGGAAGGGGGTAGAAGTGCCCTGTAGGCAGGAAGGGGGTAGAAGTGCCCGGTAAGCAGGAAGGGGGTAGAAGTGCCCGGTAGGCAGGAAGGGGGTAGAAGTGCCCGGTAAGCAGGAAGGGGGTAGAAGTGTCCGGTAGGCAGGAAGGGAGTAGAAGTGTCCGGTGGGCAGGAAGGGGGTGGAAGTGTCTGGTAGGAAAGAATGGGGTAGACGTGCCGGTAGGCAGGAAGGAGGTAGAAGTGTCCGGTAGGCAAGAAGGGGGTAGAAGTGCCCTGTAGGCAGGAAGGGGGTAGAAGTGCCCTGTAGGCAGGAAGGGGGTAGAAGTGCCCGGTAGGCAGGAAGGGGGTAGAAATGCCCGGTGGGCAGGTAGGTGGTAGAAGTGCCCTGTAGGCAGGAAGGGGGTAGAAGTACCCGGTGGGCAGGAAGGGGGTAGAAGTGCCCGGTGGGCAGGTAGGTGGTAGAAGTGCCCTGTAGGCAGGAAGGGGGTAGAAGTACCCGGTGGGCAGGAAGGGGGTAGAAGTGCCCTGTAGGCAGGAAGGGGGAAGAAGTGCCCAGTAGGCAGGAAGGGGGTAGAAGTGCCCTGTAGGCAGGAAGGGGGTAGAAGTGCCCTGTAGGCAGGAAGGGGGTAGAAGTACCCAGTGGGCAGGAAGGGGGTAGAAGTGCCCTGTAGGCGGGAAGGGGGAAGACGTGCCCGGTACGCAGGAAGGAGGTAGAAGTGTCCGGTAGGCAGGAAAGGGGTAGAAGTGCCGGAAGGCGAGGGGTTAATCACCACTGGGGGGGGGGTATTTTTTTGCTAAACAAATTTAAAAAGACTGAAAATTAAAAAAAAAAAAAATTTTCTTTGTTTCTTATAAAACTTTGCAAATAAGTAATTTTTCTTATTCACTGATGGGCACTGATGAGGCGACACATCTGGTCACTATTAAGGCTGCACTGATGAGCACTGATGAGGCGGCACTTCTGGTCACTATTAAGGCTGCACTGATGGGCACTGATGAGGCGGCACTTCTGGTCACTACTAAGGCTGCACTGATGGGCACTGATGAGGCTGAACTGATGAGGCAGCACTTCTGGTCACTATTAAGGCTGCACTGATGGGCACTAATGAGGATGCTCTGATGGGCACTAATGAGGCTGCACTTATGGGCACTATTAAGGCTGCACTGATGAGGCTGCACTGATGGGCACTAATGAGGCTGCACTGATGAGGCGGCACATTTGGTCACTATGAAGGCTGCACTAATGGGCACTATTATTATTATTATACAGTATTTATAAAGCGCCAACAGTTTGCTCAGCGCTGTACATTACAATGGGGGACAATACATGAGACAGTACAATAACAATACAGTGTGATACACGAGGGGTTCGAGGGCCCTGCTCCTTGGAGCTTACAATCTAGGAGGGAGGGGATAGTGGTACGGGAGGAAAAGCTGTGGGGAATGGAGTGGTAGGAAGAGTGGAGGAGATCGGCAGTTAGCAGAGGGTGGGGTAGACTTCCCTGAAGACATGGGTTTTTAGGGTGTGCCTAAAGGAGAGTAGAGTGGGTGATAGTCTGATGGATTGGGGTAGGGAGTTCCAGAGGATGGGTGACACCTTGAAGAGGTTCTGGAGGCGGGCATGGGAGGAGGAGATCAGGGAACTAGAGAGAAGGAGGTCTTGTGAGGAGCGGAGACTGCGTTTTGGATGGTATTTGGATATTAGGTCGGTGATGTAGTTTGGTGCAGTATGATGGACAGCTTTGTACGTCAGTGTTAGGATTTTGAATTTGATCTGTTGTGCAATCGGAAGCCAGTGGAGGGATTGGCAGAGGGGGGTGACGTAAACGGAGCGGTTGGTAAGGTGGATGAGTCTGGCTGCCATATTCATGATCGACTGAAGTGGGGATAGCCTGTGGCAAAGCAGGTCAGTGAGGAGGGAGTTGCAGTAGTCGAGTCATGATATGATGAGGGAGTGGATGAGCTGTTTAGTGGTTTCTGGGGTTAGGAATGGGCGTATTTTGGCGATGTTGCGAAGGTGGAGTCTGCATGAATTTGCCAGCGATTGGACATGGGGTTGGAAGGACAGGTTTGAGTCTAGGGTGACACCTAGTACTCTGGCTTGTGGGGTGGGCCTTATGGTGGCATTGTTGGACGTGATGGAGAAGTCAGTGGGGGGTGGTGGGCTGGGGGTAAGATTAGGAGCTCGGTTTTGGAGAGGTTCAGTGAGGCGAGGGGTAGAGAGGTAGATTTGCGTGTCGTCGGCATAGAGGTGATAGTTGAAGCCGTGGGAGTGTATCAATTGGCCAAGGGATGAGGTGAAGATGGAGAAGAGAAGGGGCCCAAGGACAGAGCCTTGGGGGACCCCAACAGAGAGGTGGAGGTGGTAGTGTTATAGGTAATGCTGAAGGTGCGTTGTGATAGGTAGGATGACAGCCAGGAGAGAGCGGAGTCTCTGAGGCCAAGAGAGTGTAGTTTCTTGAGGAGGAAGGGGTGGTCGACTGTGTCAAAATCTGCAGGGAGGTCAAGGACTAGGAGGACTGAGTAGTGACCATTAGCTTTGGCGGTTAGCAGGTTGTTGGAGAGTTTGAGTAGGGCGGTTTCAGTAGAGTGTAGGTGACAGAAGCCGGACTGTAGGGGGTCGAGGAGGTTGTTGGCGGTGAGGTGGGAACTCAGGCGATTGTAGACTAAACGCTCAAGGAGTTTGGATGTAAATGGCAGCAGGGAGATGGGTCTAAGGTTGTTCAGGTCAGTGGGGTCCAGGGAGGGCTTTTTAAGTATGGGAGTGATGT